AACCATAAAAATAAAGGGTAAAAACAAGCATAAGCACACTACTTAATCTTAATTAGAGACTTAGAGCAGTACTTATATATTAATATAATTAATTGACTAATTTGTACTACGTTACCTTCAAATTAAAAATATACTATAGTAGATAACTTAGATTTCAAATTGCATTGATCTGAACCATAAAATAATCAAGTGGGAAGGAGTAAGCCTATATCATAAATTTGGTATAAAAATCCACCAAATTAAACCACAAAGTCAAACGTAATAAGCCTAATATAGCCAATAATTTTGGAATAGAGAAAACAGTGAAAGCGAAATGATAAAGCTTGAAGAGCTTAAGAAAGTCTATTCACGAGAATGTCGCTTAATAATTGAAGTTGATATTCACCACTGCTTCCCTTTACATTATCATTCATTGCCACATTCATCTCACATGATAGCTTCAGCAGCTAATTTGACCAATCAATTTCTAAGCACCATTTTCATTTAAACCAGCCCTATACAAAAGGCCCCGAACTTATTGACTTGGATAATTCGGTACTCGGACTTTACCAATTAAACTAGTTATCGAACCAAAAAAAATTAACATAAGAAGAAGGAAACACAGAAGTAATAAGGCAACTATTATGATTCCATTATTGAATTATAAACCCCACCAAGGGGAAATTACATCAAACTGACAGGGCTTTTTTTGTGTTTATCAATACGAAAAAACGCAATGTCATCACCCCAAATCACTTTATATATTATGACTAAGATATGAAAAGGGGGGAAAATTAACAAAATCCACCTTTCCCTTGATTAAGCAAGCTAATTAACCTAATACAACCCCTAATTATATAATACTCCACTAATAATACTACTACAAATTCCTAAAAATAACCCCCCAAACTTTATTACAAACCACAATAATATTTTGCTTTTTGCATGAAAATTTTAAAAAATAAAACCTTGCATTTCATGCCTAACTTCTTCCTACTTGTATTTTCTTCTTCTAACCCTTCTTTTGATGGAAGTCTCCCTTTCAAAAGCACCAACATCAAAAGCTGCATATCTTCTTTCAATAAAGACATGTAAAATATTTAAAAAATAAAAAAAGAAAAGATCTGCATTTCCCTTATTCCTTTCATCCCAATTTCCCACTACTGTTTTTTTCTTCTTCCTTTTCTGCTTTTTCATCCTCCAAATCTCCTGTTCTAATATAAAAAACCATATACTATACCCCTAATAAAAGATCTAATCCTCAAATTTTCTCTCTCCTCAACAAAAGAACCCTAGGAGAGAGAAAATGAGAATGCCAAAGTCAGTAAGTCCAGTCACTTGGAAGCCGGATTTCATCATTCCTTATCATACTTCTCCTTTGCTCCAGAATTGCATTTCTCCTTGCCATTATAATATCTGCAACATTTTCACAATAACTTTAATTATTCTCCTTAATTAAAACAATTAATTACACAATTAATTAATTAATTATCAAAATAAGAAATTACCGTGGTCAGACAACAATCCAGACCCAAATCGTGAATGAGCATTCGGGTTAACCTCCTCGAAATCCCGGTTCAGAGCATGGACTCCTCTCGCTGAGAGAATCACTGCAAAACATAAACAAAAATGTAAATAATCTAAATTACAGAGAATTCAAAATTGTAACAGATCTGAAAAAAAAAATAGTGGAAACTCTTTTTTCATATTACCAGAAAAAAAAAAAACAAAAATCAAGAGCATTAGAGGTTTTATGTTGTAACAGATAAAACGACAAAGGCGTAATAACGAATTAGAAACGAGAAATGGATGATACGATGCACTGCATTACAACTACGAACGAATACAAGTGTATACAACTATTTTCTCTCTCCTCCAAAACAGAAGGAATTAATTTATTTACCAGTTGGTTTTTTGCGAGGTTCAGGGGGTGGTGCTTGACGAGTTGTGGTACCAGCTCCCCTTGGAAGAAAAACACCGGTTCCTGTTGACTGACGCTTCATTCCAGGTGGGCCGGACCCAGGCCCGTTGAGGAACACGGCCCGCATCCCTGGCCCACCTCCATTGGGCTGACGGTGGTGGTTGGGTCGGAGAGATGGCCATGCAGACTGTGGTAGTCCGAGTGGTCCACCGCCGCAACTTCGCCTTTGCTGGTGGTGGTGGTGCTGTTGACAGTAGAAGTTTCCGGTGTTTCCCTGTCTCTTCACTTGTTCATACTGAAATTCCTGGAAAAAAATACAAAAAATGTCAGAAATTAATTGAAATGTTATCAATAAATAAATAAATTTTAAATAAATTGTTCGTACCGGAGTAGAGTGAGGGAAGTCGTAAAATGAGTTGAGTTGTTGACGGTGATGATGCGTTTTAGAGAGCGAAACGTTTCGAGGAGCAACGAGAAGACCTCTGTTCTGTTGGTTGTTGTTATGGTGGTTAACTTGAGCAGCGATTGCGTTCATCTTCAGACGAGCAACTTGACCGGCGGCTTCATACAAGAGCTCCCAAGCGGCGTCGTTTTTGGGCGGAGGTGTCGCCGGCGGTGACGGAACTCTTGGTGAAGGTCCGTTCGGACTACCGTTGCTCGAAAACCCACTCCGGTTCGACCAGGGTCCGAACCCGGTTAGCGTCGATTGTGGCGACGTTGAGAACAACCATGGTTTCTAAAAATAGAAATCAACAAACAAATTTAGTTTCTCTTTCTCAGATCTATGAGTTGATTTTGTAGAACGAATTAGAAGAGATTATTAGCATATTACCTCGGTGTTGGAGTTGTGGGAGTCCTGGAGAGTAGACTGAGCGAGATGACGAGTCAACTCGGCTAAGAAATCGTCGTCGTCTTCATTGATGTTAAGCTTCTCGTCATTGTTGCTGTCACCACGTTCAGTCTCAGTGGAACTAATCGGCGAGTCAAGGGACGAGTTAGGGTCAAACCCGAAGGAGTTCGAGAAGAGGTCGTCCTTCTTCAACAACGTCCGGTGAGGTTTCTGGTCGGCGAGGAAATCGTCGTCAGTGAGGAAATGAGTGGGAAGCCAAAACGCTGCGTTTTCCGTCTCCATAGTTTCGCCCATAGTTGTAACAGAGTAGCAGTAGTAGTAGTATGAGTGAGGTTGAATGTTGTGCTTTGAAATGGAGTTTTAGAGAGAGAAAACAGGGAATTAAGAGAGAGAAAGTAAAAGGGAGGGAGTTATGAGTGGGTGTGTTGGTGCGTGAAGAAGATTTAATTATAAGGAAGAGGGGGGAAGGGAGGGAAGGAAGCTTTGTAGCTCATGAAATTGCAGGCCGAGGGACCCACCCCAGACAACCTGCTTTTATTAAGGTTTCTTTGATGGCCTCAATTTATTTATTTTTTCTTTTTTTTTTCATTTTTACTAGTAAATTCATTAATTTAGGAGATTTCAAAATTGGAAGTTTAACATAGACATGGAGAAGGTAAATGTGGTGAATAGTAATCTGTGGAAGAAGTTATATTGGGAAAAATTGTCAAACTGAGCGTTTTTGGAAAACAATTTCCCAAACAAGACGCGTGGCAAAACTATTTACCAAACTAAGCTTTCAGGATAAAACGTCAACCAGGGTGGCGTTTTACCCTGGGCAATTTTTTTTTTTTTTTTTAGTCAAAGGTAAAACGCCATCAAGGGTGGCGTTTTACTGCTGGGCAAATTTTTTTAAAAAAAAAATATTTACACAAAAACGCTAACGCCGTTGGCGTTTTACTTTTAACACAAAAGCGCTAACGTCGTTGGCGTTTTAGAGTCGGGTATTTCTAACAGCATATATCGCTGTTCTTCATTATTCAACCAAACCCCCAAATTGCAAACCCTAACCCCGCGCATACCAACTTCCAATTCTCCATATTTGAAGCAATTTCATCACATTCCGTAGCTTAGTTTTGCATCATAGTCAATAAAAATTAATCCTCCTTCTTTGTTCAACACTGTTACGCCCTACTTTCATCGAAATTGAGGTATGTCTTGAATTTAACTATTTTACTTGTGTATGATGTTTTTTGGGAATTTATGTTTGTAATTTACAATGTATGTACTATAGTGTTGTTCAAGTATGCGAAATATGTATAACTACATAATACATTGTTGTTTAATTATTGAAATTAAGTATAGTTATATGTATGTTGTATAATTTCGTATAATTTATATGAAGCATTTAGTTGTTGAACTACATATATGAAGCATTTAGGGAATTACGAACTACATTATTGAGTTAAGTACATTTAAATGTATTTTACATTGTTAGATTAAGTAGGTAAGTTAGTATGTTGTTGAACACTGCGTTGTATGTACGCTTTGCTTGGGGATTTATTGGAATCATTGTGGTTTTAGTTGTGCATATGTGTCACCTAATATGTGGTCTGATGTTATGTAGAACATGGCTTCACAATTGATTGTTTTGTTATGCCGTTGGGGGGGTGAAATTTTGTGTGTCGGACCCAATGTCGAGTATAGAGGAGGAAAAATGGAACCGCTAGCATTGAAACCTTGTATGACTTACAATGATTTGTTGAAGAAAGTTTATACTATAATTGGTTCAAAGCCAACAAGTGTTGAAGTGAACATCAAAATGAGGTTTGAAAGTGTTAGCGGGATTCAAATCTTACCTGTTTTGAATGACGACCATTTGGAGGTTTTGAGGGGTGTCGTTGCAATGAGGTCTCTTCCTACTGATTTGTATGTGGAAACGGTGCCTGTATGTACTCAACAACCAACATTTCTTCCATCATACAATGCAAGCTCTCTACAAATGCCCGCATATAACATTCCATCACCTGAATATGGAATGGGTTCTTTCAGTAGAATGTTACACGACGATCAATTTGACATTCCATTCAGTTCACAATTTACGGCGTCAGGGTCAATGCAGCAACCTGGTCCATCTACCTCAAACAATGACATTTCATCATCGATGCAGTTGCAAAGTTACTCTCCCACGCAAGAACATATTGAAAACCACCGTTTCAGACTTTGGTGAATGCTGAACTTGTTGTAAACAACGAGTTGTCTGTTCTTGATATGTATAATGACACAAACGACGATGGTGAAGACAGAGATGAAGAAGATGTTATAAACAACGATTTGTCCGTGGATGATGTTGTTGCTAGAACTCCATTACCTTGGTTCAGTCAAATAAACGAGAACTATGAGGTGGACATACATTGGGGTGATTCGGGGAGCCAGTGTTCGTTTCGTGTCGGGGGAGAATTTGAGAAGGGCATGATTTTCGACAATAAGAAAGCGCTACAGGAAATGGTGAAATTGTATTCCATAGAGCGAAATCATTTCTACACCACAGTGACGTCGAATCAGAATGTCCTTCATTTAAAGTGCAAGAGGGGGTGTGGTTGGTCGCTACGTGGTACAAAAACAAATCTAACCACACGTGCCTTTAAGATCGTATCTTACAAGGGCCCACATCGCGACAATTGTGTTAATGAAGTTCCGCCCAGAGATCATCGACACTTGGACTCCTCTGTTATATGCGACTATGTGAAGTCGTTTGTGCAGAAAGATCCATGTTTGAGAGTTGAGTTCATACAACATATCATCTCCAACAAATTTCAATTCGATGTTCCATATCGAAGAGCGTGGTATGCCAAACAGAAAGCGATTGCGGAAATTTTTGGGGATTGGGAGAGTTCATACAACAGACTTCCTTCATTCATGCAAGCCCTCCAGGAGTCGAACCCAGGCACTGTAGTTCTGTGGAAATACAAAGCTATTGCTGAAGGCGTTTATTACAGCAACATGGAGGTATTTGAACGAGTGTTTTGGGCCTTTAAGCCTTCCATCGATGGGTTCAAACACTGCATGCCTCTGTTATCTATTGATGGGACACACTTGTATGGGAAATATAAAGGCACACTTTTGGTTGCTACAAGTGTTGATGCTAATTTTCAGGTATTTCCTTTCGCATTTGCAATAGTTGAAGGGGAAAACACCTCGAGTTGGTCCTGGTTTCTAAGCTGCATTCGGGTTCATGTTACTGATCGAGAGGGCCTATGTGTTATATCTGACCTCGAGTTGGTAGGCCAGCTATGCCTGCTAGGCGTCGACGCGAGGAGGAGGAGGAAGACGATTAGGAGCATGCATATGAGGCGCCGCCACACCCACCATCGGACTTAGCATACGGTTGCCGGTATGTATGACTTATTGTTAAGTTATCCACATATGGTTTTAATTTTCTATTAATTTTGTCATGAACACTATTATTATACATGTAATCAGGTGGCTAGGGCGGAGACTTACTCGTGTGCATGCAGCAAGGGGTCTGCCGTATTATAGAGATGCATTCGACAGACTGAGCGAGTCTCAGGTTATAGTTCACTTTAAAAACTAATTTAACACCGTGTTCATTATTTTAATAAGTTAATTATGATGTTAACGACTGCTTGTTAATGCAGATGACGTGGGATCCGTACGTCCCTCACTTAGTCGATGCCATGCCCCAATATCTTCTTGATCACCATATGGAGTGGCGTGCCATGACAATGCTCATCTGTTTTGAGTTGGTGGAGGCTCACCTCCCCGACAGAGTCATGCGACAGTTCGGCCTTTGTCAAGCCATCCCCGCCCCGTGTGACACGAGTGTCCAGTTGCACAAGACAGACCGACGAGGAAAGGGGGAGGTTAACTGGGCAGTTCAGCATGCCCCTTACATTGACATGTGGGACCAGCGGCTGCAGCACGTCGCGGATGGTGCGCCTGTCCAAGGCCTGATGGAGTATCACGATCCATACATGGTATGGTACAGGAGCATTACCCGACCCTTCATCAACCCTAACTACACCCCACCCTCAACGCATTACCACCCAGCTTTTGGAGACATCAGTGGATATGTGAGTTTTTTGTCATTTTTTCTTTTCCTCCAATTTATAGTTTCTTTAATTATTAAAATGGCTGATTGTTGACTAATGCAGGCGTCTGATATGCTTGCTATACATGATGCACTAGAAGTCTTGAGCATATCATATCCCACCATACCGCAATTGGATGACATTCACGCAATGACTGTGAGTAGCTTACAAAGACATGGTCATGGCCATCTTATCCCCCAGGGCCGGGACCAATCACACCGCCGTTCACACCGTGAGGTAGGCAGCAGTAGTAGGGGACAGACTCACACGTCCCCTACAGGGTCCCCCCTATTTTTTGATGATCAGGAAGATATCGCCATCCACATGTCTGCGCCATACTCATCTCAGGAAGGACCATCTTCCAGCCAACAGACTCCTCCCCAAACCTCTGCCCCAGATCCTTTCACAACGGTATCTCAGTACTACCGTCGTAGAAGACCGCAATTGGATAGACAACACTTACATACAATAGATGAATCGGGATCTTAGAACTTCTTTTGTTAGTTGTAATCAGATTCTATAGTACATTGTATCCAAATAAATATTATCAATTTTACTAACCTTTTTAGTTCATTTTCTGTACATTATCAACTTCACCATACGCATTCATTCTTTTCATTGTATTGGTTGCTGGTGTTGTTGTTGTTGCTGGTGTTGTTAATGTTGCTGATGTTGTTGCAGTTATTGTTGTGGTTCATGTTGTTAAGGTTGTAGTAGTTGTTGTGATTGTTGTTGATGCTCTTGTTGGGGTTGTCGCTGTTGCTCTTGTTGGGGTTTTCGCTGTTGCTGTTGTTGTAGTTGTTGTGGTTGTTGCTGCTGTTGTTGTTGCAGCTCCTGTTGGTTGTTGCTGTTGTTGTTGCAGCTCCTGTGGTTTTGCTGCTGTTGCTGTGTAGCTGTGTTTGTGTGCAGAGATAAAACGCCAACCATGGTGGCGCTTTAGTGGGGTAAATTATTTTCAAAAAAATCACTCAGGGTAAAAAGCCAACGGCGTTAGCGTTTTTGTGTAAATGTGTTTTTTTTTAAAAAATTTGTCCAGTAGTAAAACGCCACCCTTGATGGCGTTTTATCCTTGACTAAAAATTAAAAAAAAAATAAATGCCCAGGGTAAAACGCCATCCTGGTTGGCGTTTTACTTTGGAAGCTTAGTTTGGTAAATAGTTTTGCCACGCGTCTTGTTTGGGAAATTGTTTCCCAAAAACGCTTAGTTTCAAAAAGTAATTGTAAGTATGATTTTTTAAAAAGTTGTCGAAAATCACTCTTTAAATGTGCTTGGTTATATAGATGGAGACAGAAAGCTAGTCGAATTTTCTATCCTCTATATCTCAAAGAGTATTGTAGAGTAATATGGTGGTTAAGAGATAATATTTACTCTAATAAATACTTTTATTTCAAAAAGGATTTTGCATAAGTATAGAGTGGTTGTGACAAAATTAACTTAAAAATACATTCATTGCAATTTGCAAAACTTAAGTTGAAATTTTAATTTTATTTTAGATAGAAAAAAGAGAGACTGAAACATGGAAACAAGTGGAGAAATTGGCCCTAGTGGTTGGGGACATTTGTTCTTTTGTGTAGAGACCCACCTGCCACCTGTGCAGTTTTTTTAAAAAAGAAGCAGAGGGATTTTTTTTCATTTTATTTCTTTTTAAAAAAAAATTATACACAAACAAAAAATAAATAAATAAATGATAATAATAAAAACATTAAATAAAAATTAAAAAAAAAAAAAAAAAAACCTTACAGCTAATCAGGTAAGGTATAATTGTACCTTCAAGCCTTCAATCATGCATACATGCTCACCCTAATTAAGACTGAAAATTACAGAAAATATTAATGATTTTACCCTTTTTTCCTAATAATTTTTCTACAATAATTTTTCTAATTAGGAGTACAAGTGCAACTGTGCAAGTGTATAATTTCAGTTAAATTTTTACAGTTTTATTGTCCGGTAAAAGTAGGGAACAGGAATATTTAATTGGAATTTATAGAAAAATGTGTAACAGGGTAATTAAAGAGTTTAAAAAATGGTGCTTGGTAATGTTCTTTTGCATTGTTAATGACAATTGAATGTTCCAAAGGTATTCTATATCATTAGTATATGGATTATAGTAGACACATTGACTCTTCGAATAACGTTTTCCAAACAACCATATTGTCCAATTTATTTTTTATTAGTTGGAGTGTTAAGTTTTTGTGTTTCGTTTGTGTTGTGATAAATTGCATTCAAATTTTAATCAGCAATATATTTGTAAAACATTCAAAATTTTAAATTTGAATTCCTGAATTCGATTTAATTTAATACTCCATACAAAGTATTATTTTGAACCCATGAAGTGTAAAATTTAATTTCAAATTTTGTACAAATTGGATCAAGTAATTGGTCGGGGGGTAACTGGGTAAGAATTACTACTCGTACAAAATTAAGGTTGATTGTTTGTCATCATTCTTGATTTTAATAAAGGACAACCACGTGATTAAATAAAAATTGTAAGTAAACCTTGTATGGAGTAAGTTGTAATCTCACCTTAGCAAAGTAGATTTTTAGCTATTGGACTTTTTTTTATCCTAAATGACTCAAATTCAACCTTAAACTTGGAATAATGGTCCTTGGCTTTGGACATATTCTCTTCAGCTTAATTTCAGTTCAGTTCAGCTCTAATCAATTCATTTTTTAATTTTCTTCTCTCATAAAATATTCATTTCAGCTCTATTCAGTTCAATTTAGTTCAGTTCAGTTCAGCTCCAATCAGTTCAGTTTGACTCATTTCAATAAATCAGAACAGACCCTTGGTCCTTTAACAATATGCTCTTTAGTCTTTATCAAACTTACCATGAAGCATCTATTAAACCTTACTGGGGAATTCCTTATTTATCTTTACCAAAACTCAACTTAACTCCACATTTTCTTAACTTATACTTCTTCCAATTCTATTAATATTGCAACAAGAATGAAATTATGTATCCTAAAGCATATTTTATATGATAAATATCTATAATTGTGTAAGAGTAAAAAATATAAAAAGTTATATTGTGAAAGTATTTTATGAGACGAATCCAACTAAATTACACATGACTATATTTTGCTTAACGTATAAATCATATTACATGTCAAACAAGAGTGATGAATAGTGCAAAAAATTCATTGCTGCAATGCCGAAGAAGTATAAACTATCCTTAATTGTGGGCTGCATCTACTTGACTAAATAACTCTACTCATAGTACTTGAAGTGTATATACAATACATCCATGTTAAAGATTTGATTCAAAATGGTCCACTCTATGACCCTAAAAATATGAATCACTTGGTGGAGTACATTGGTCGCATCTATAGTGTGTAAAGCTAGTATTAAGTAGGAGTAAATCACAAAACATTTACAAAAACATAAAAATGTAGCACTATGATTTGTGATTGGGAAGGGCTTATGCTCCCTTAGTGCTAAAACACAAGATTGTCGTGAGTGATGAGGGTACCCGTGAATTAGCCGGGTCAAACTAAGCAAATATGGTAGGCTCTACTTTAGAATCTTGAATCTTTTTTTACGCTAGCTATTCGGACCCCATCTTCATCCGTTGATTTTTTTTTGGCACGTCGCCATCCAACGGTAGTCAATATTTCGGTTACGTGTCCCACACCCTACGCCGTATCTGTTACGGAGTCAGTTTTTTATATTCTATCCGTATTTTATTACTACCTTCGTTTTATATTTTTTGTAATTTTAAAAATTTATTTTACAAATTTTATCCAAAAGTTGCACAAAAAAAATATAAAAGGAAAAATTTTAATATAAAAAATGAAATGGAGGTAGTAATTGTTCAATTTCTTTAGGCATGAAGCTTTAGAAGAAAATCCAGAAATACTAAAAATTAATACTCACGTTGTATTTTATACACGATGCACTTTTCTATTATGACCTTTTTATTACTCAGGACCTGTTCTGATTTACTTAACAGAACTGAACTGAACTTATTAGAGCTGAGCTGAACTGAATATTTTATAAGAGAAGAAAATTAGGAGTTGAACTGAAAATAATTGTATGAGAACAGACCCTTAATTCATTTTCTTTTTTGAAAACCTTACACAATATTTTACTCTTTTCGTTCCCAAATGTTATTTCCATATACTATTTATTTTGACACCATTCATAAGAGGGGAGAATCTTATAAATTACTCAAATGATAAAACGTAACATAGTCATATATCAAGTCCTATTTTATTCGTCGTAAATCGTAATGAATAGTTTATTAATATTCAATTATATTATATTTTTT